ATCCTGCCTTCCCGTCCTACCTTTCCTGTTGCTCTCCCGCACCCGATTGTCCTCCTTATGCTCTGCCCTACTCTCCCTGCGCTCCTGCCTCTCCTTCTCTCCCACCCCCTCCCTCCTTGCCTCCGCCCGCCCGCCCTCCCTCCACGCATGTCCTTGCCCTTACGTTGCCCGGCCCTATCTTGTCCTGCTGCGTCCTGCCTTTCCCCGACCCGCCCCTCGTAGTTTCTTTGTTGGCGCAGTCCGGAGCGAGCCGGGGGTGGAGCGGTAGGATTTATGCGCGGCTGCCTGGCCGACTGGCCGGGTGGGCGGGGCGATCGCCGCGGGAGAGGAAAGCCGGACGACGCAGCGGCGGCGGGGGCTCGGCCGGCCGGATTTTTTAATTTTTTTTTTCCCCCGCGCCCTGGCCCCATTTTTTGCCAAAAAAAAAAAGTGGGTTTTTTCCCCGGGGGGGGGCCCCTCCTCGCTCCTTTTGAGCGATTGAATTTTATGAATATCGCCGGCCGCCGCGCCGCTGCGCTGACCGAACGCCCCGCCCCGCCCCGCCCCCCGCCCTGCCCCGCCCGCCCGCCGCGCTTGGCCGAGTTCCGCGCGATAAAAGCAACGCAGCGGCGCCGCCGCTGCGCCGCCTCCCGCCCTGCCCACGCAGCCCTTCGCGCTCCCGGCCAGTTGTTTACTCGCTGCGCCACGCCGCCGATTCAACTGCTGAAGGGAAGACGGCTGACGACGACGCGGCAGGGCGGCGACGGGCAAATTTCAACGAACGAATAAACGGCGGGGCGGTGCGCCACGACAAGACAAAGAGACCAACGAACGGAGAGAGAGAGGCGGACGGACCCCCAATGGAGACGGGTGGACGGACGGACAGCTGCGCAAAAGACAGGCGGAAGAACGGACTGACATACATACAGATGAACGACAGGCTATCAGATGAAAGGACGTGGAGCTGGCCGAAGTTTGCCCAACCAGCAGCAAATGTTACGATAATTTCCTGGCCTAGAACATTTTTTGAAAGGGGACATTTTAAGAAACAAAAGATGGATAACACCGTCACTGATTTTTACCCTGTATTGCCGGGAAGTGAACTGAAATAATACAAAAGGCCGCACCTGTGTATATAAGGAAGTATTTCCGGGCTGACAAAAAAATAACCCAAATATGTTTAATTAGTGATTAGAAATTAAAAAATGCATAATAAGCATGAGCAGTTCTTTCACAGTTATTTTCTCGTTGTATTATTATTGGTGCCTGCGCCTTTTGTATATTTCAGCAGTTCACTTCACGCGCCGTACTTTAAACTCTCGCTTTCAAATTCTATGCAGGGGGAATATATCCCCCCTAATTGTTTTTTGGTCAGCAATTCTTGCATTTTCCGTGGATATATGGTCTAGAAAATCTATAGTATGCCTACTAAGATTTTTGATTTTCGCAGAAGCTGTTTTTTGAACAGAAATTAGAAGTGACGTTTTATCCCATCTTTTTTTTGCTAAAATGTTCTACCACGGACTTTTACAAAAAAAAAGATTTCTATCGCGCTCTACAAGGAACATAAGATTATCTTTTACTTGTTCTCTTCTTGAGCGAGTAGTGTGCCGTGAGTGCGGGAACCAAGATTAATAGCTCCCCACTAGTACTCTTATCATCCTGATAGCCTGTTCGGCTCAACCACTGTCTGAAGTAAGAGTTGTCGAGTTCTGACGTTGTTCATTTCTCAAACTGCTAAATGGTTCTTTCTCAAACCTATTGCTGTGATACTTCGGATACACAGAAAAATTGCCAACCTCGGCTTCAGTATATGTCCAGATTCTCTGCCATACTCTCTTTCTCGCGTTCGAAACTCTACGATCTTTGCGTCATTGTCTCTATCATGTGACGCGCGCCAAAACTATATTCTTCCTCTGCACGCGGTGGTTATTCTTTATATCTGTGTTTGATCCGTTTGTACTCTCTAGCCCGACTCATCAGAACGTTACCCGTTGGTACATCGACTCTTCGGGTCTTTCCTTCAACTCAGTGATATTCTCGAAGCATCTCGCGTCGGCGCAGCGAGAAAACAACTGGGCCGCGACGCGAAGCGGCGTGGAGCGGAGCAACCATGGACATTCTCTTACAGTCCGGCGGGGGTTCTGTTCTTCCGTTTCGCTGCCAGATGTTGATGTCATTGTGCCCACGATTTCTTTGCACGTGTATTTTGTCGTACTGCATACTCCAAAAGCATCCTTTCCTGCAATAAACAAGTGAAGGTAACCATTAGTTTGCCGTGCATAAAGACCTGAAAAATAATTTATAAATCATCGCAATTATGCTTACATGTACTGAATCTATCCGACAGCGAGAACAAAATCTAGTCCATGGCCTTCTCCGAACACTTTACATACGTCAAAGCTCTTTGTGACCCGTGATCCGTCTTACCACCGAAAGACACTGTTGAACAGTTGTCCACCTTTGCAAGGCGGCGTTGTACCATCGCGCGCGATCGGCGTCGGTCAAGCGTGTACTTGAGATCCTTGGTCCGGCGGCCGGCGATATTTCAGTAAAATTCCAATCCGGCGTCTCATAAAATCCGCACCATTGAGCTCTTAGCTAGCGGATGGACGAACACAACTATCGTGCATGCACGCAAAATCGGCCCCCCCCCCGCCGCCCGCTTGCCGTCCTTCACTGCTTCGCGTCCCCCCGATGCCTCTCTTCCCATGCGCCTCGCATTTAAGTTTTTTGCTTCCTACACATCTTTGCAGACAGAGTACTCCGCGCCCCGCACTAATATTCCACTCCAACCCATGTTGCCGCTCGCTCTCCTTGACCGCCCAAGAAGAAACTACGAAGGCTTGCGCGCTCCTGAAGGGTTGTTTGAGACCTCCCAAAGAGAAGTGGAGGGCAGGGTTACCCGAGCCTTCAAGACCCGCCAGACATGTGAAGAGGCCCAGGGAGCTTCGGACGTGTTTAGGCAGAGACCATTCCATGGCAGATGGGGTAAATCAAAGAAGAGGAGCCGGCGGGCAGGTAGAGTGAACTGGCACAGTAAGATAGAAGTGGAGTTGGTTCGGAACGGAATTTTCCTTGTAGAGAAAGTTTGCTAGTTGCGTAGTGTGATGGATTCCCTGATGAACCGCGCTTGGCCGAGTTCCGCGCGATAAAGCAACGCAGCGGCGCCGCCGCTGCCGCCGCCTCCCGCCTCCCACGCAGCCTTCGCGCTCCCGGCCAGTTGTTTACTCGCTGCGCCACGCCGGCCGATCAACTGTGAAGGAAGACGGCTGACGACGGACGCGGCGGCGGCGACGGGCAAATCAACGAACGAATAAACGGGCGGGCGGGCGCACGACAAGACAAAGAGACCAACGAACGGAGAGAGAGAGGCGGACGGACAATGAGACGGGTGGACGGACGGACAGCTGGTCGGAAAGAACAGGCGGAAGAACGGACGACATACATACAGATGAACCGACAGGCTATCAGATGAAGGACGTGGAGCTGGCCGAAGTGCCACCAGAGCAAATGTTACGATATTTCCTGGCCTAGAACATTTTTTGAAAGGGGACATTTTAAGAAAAAAAGATGGATGAAACCGTCACTGATTTTTACCCTGTGATTGCGGTGAAGTGAACTGAAATAATACAAAAGGCGCACCTGTGTATAATCAAGGAAGTATTTCGGCTGACAAAAAATAACCAAATATGTTAATTAGGTGATTAGAAATTTAAAAAATGCATATTAATATGAGCAGTTTTTCACAGTTATTTTTCTGTTATATTGGCGTACTTTTAACTCTCGTTTTCATTGGGGAATATATCCTAATGTTTTTTGGAGCAATTTTGCATTTTTTCCTGGATATATGTCTGTATAGTATGCTACTAAAGATTTGATTTTCGCAGAGCTGTTTTTTGAACAGAAAATTAGTCTACCAGAAAAAATGAATACCTTTCAGACATGAATATACTTTGCTTTTGAGCGAAGTGTCGAGGAAAATTAATAGTAAATTACCTAACCAGTGAAGAAATTGAGTTTTGATGTATAAATGAAATTTTTAATTTTGAAATTTGAAAAGAAAAATTGCATTTTGAAAATTTTGAATTTTGGAAACCTAGATTTTGCATTTTAAAATGAGTGCGCCAAACTATATTTCTTTGATGGCTTAAGTTGTGTTTTAGTACGAATTCATGAAAACTTACACGTATATACTTTGGGGATCATCAACATTCGTGGCGGCAACCATGACCATTCTCTTGTGTTTTTTTTAGTTCTCAGTGTTGAGTAGTGCCCACGATTTCTTTGACGTGTATTTTGTCGTATGCATACTCCAAAATAATCCTTTCCTGTCAATAAACAGTGAAGGTAACCATTAGTTTGCGTGCATAAGACCTGAAAAAATAATTTATAAATCATCGCAATATGCTTAATGTATTAATCATTAGTATAAAATATTGTTCAATACTACAATACTAAACTCTTTTACCCTATCTTTACCACCGAAACACATTTTAATTTTCCACTGCATGTACCATCTGATTGTACCAGTTGAATCTTGGTGTCCGTGGTCCGCACCATTGAGTCTTACTCGTACGAAAACTTCATGTTGCATGTTTATCTTCCATCGTGGATTTAAGTTTTTTTTAATTGTATTTTTTAAATATCCCGCTATTAAGCAATGTTGCGTCGACGTACTGCGCGCTTCCGAATTGTTTGAGACCTCCAAAGGAGAAGTGGGTTGCTAAACGGGCATTGAAGCAGGTGGTGTTTTGAAAGTTCATGAAGGTAATTCAAAACGGAGTAGAGTGAATGGCAGTTGAAGATAGAGTGGAGTTGGTTCGGAGACGGAATTTTCCTTGTAGAGAAGTGTGCTAGTTTGCGTAGTGTGGATGGATTCCCTGATGAAAATTATATATATATATATATATATATATATATATATATATATATATATATATATATATATATATATATTTGTATATCATCCGTGCGGAAAAAAATAACTTTAGATTGTTATTTTGCGCTCAAATTTTAAATGACAGCTGCGCTCCCTCAGTTGCCCTCGGTTGTTGCCGGTCAAGCAACAGTAATTTCCCCTCCGTTGAGTTGGGTATCGGCGACTGTTGATTCTCTTTGTGTGGCCTCGATTCAGAGTGACACATCTGCAAGAAGCTTCGAGAAACACGCTTCCCCCGCGCCTCAATTCCATCCTCTAGGGCGATCTCTACACGGATATATATATATATATATATAATTTTACATCTAAATAATGCTAGCTTGAGTGTGTGGTAGAATTTTTAGCGCTCCTAAGTATAAGACAGAAGCACGAGACCCACTGATGTGCAAGGATTAGAAATACTGAATTCTCGAGCAATGATGTAGGCCAGGGCCGATGATGTGTCAGTATCATAATCACATCCCGCGTAATGTGTCGTTTCCTGCCTTCAGGTCTTTCAATTTGTACTAGGATATATACTAAAGCCTCTTTTGATTATTTGTCCCCTTCTTTAATGTAATGTCCCTCAATTAGCCGTTAACTGAATGGGAATTAGTGTTCAAACAACTATTCTCAGTAACCTCGATATCACTTTTCTTACTTTATTGTTAACTGGAATAAACGTTTGTCAAAAATATGATCACCTCATGAATGGGGAGCTCTGCTGATAGCAATTTATGTAATATAATATCTGGTGTAATTAGGTGAATTATGTGAATTATGTGTGTATTTTGCATAACATGTAAAAATAATTAAATATTTTCGAAACCCCCTAGACACCGAAATAGATTCACAAGCTCTCAATTTTTTTCTCCAGCAGTGAAATTAATTGTGTTGACGATATTACTTTTCATTTGCGTTTGGTAACTGTGCAGAGGCCTGAGGTGCGACTTTGATTTATTACTAATTCTGCAATTATGTTTGAGAACTTACCAACTTTACATAATTTACAAACCTTACAAGTTAATGTGAACATTTCACCGTGCAATCTTCCATAACACTCCACCTCACCACACTTCACTACGGATCACTGAGCTGTAATGCCTTTCTTTCACACTTGTTTCCCTCAATTTCACAACGCAATTGCACTGCACATAATTAGTAGTAATAATAATAATTAATACCATTATTAATATTATTGTTAATGCTATTATTACTGAACAATTATATTAATAATATTATTACTGATAATTATTATTAATACTGTTATTACTATTATATTATACTATTGTATTATTACTATTAATGTACTTGCTCCGATGTGCGCAGGTGCTGATTCCTGAGCGCTCGCGGGCGGGCGGCGCCGGCGGGGCCGCTAGCGGGGGCGGCAGCGCGGGCGGCGCGGGCGGAGCAGCTGTGCGAGCGGACGTGGGCGGAGGGCCTGCGGGCGGCGGCGCGGGCGGTGCCGGCGGCGGCAACCTGCCCGTGGACGCCGTGGCCGGTAAGCAGCGCTTCTTCGTACCCGCACGTCCGTGGTCGTTGTTTTGGCGAGGGAGGAGTTTTTTGTATGTGCATCTTCACTGTGCGAAGTGAATAAGTGGCTCAGTCAAAAGCCCTTATTTTTCAGGGCACGGCTTTTGACTCGTCTCATTACTGCTAGCGGTAATTACATCTGCTTTGTAGTGTTGAGATGTTACTAACGTTGCGGTACATTTAACCGAATTTCGTCGATTTAGTACAAAATCCCGATTTTACACAACTGTTTGAACTTTAAAAATCGTGTCCTGAAAAGTAGGAACATTTGTCTTAACCATTTAGTCACTACACACACAGATATAAAAACCAAACAAAATAATGAAATAAAAGTAATATTGTAGAATCAATTGCATACCGAACGTCTTTATCATTTTGGGCAGTGTGGCAACACCCCTAGCAACAAGGGTAAAGGCCACGATTAACGGTCTACTTACCGGTAATTGGAAGGTCGTGGGTTTGATGCGACATGGTAACAGAAGTTTGCTTGATTAGGTTAACATCAGTGGTTTCAGAGGTTTTGCTGATCTCTTCCAGGTATGTGCCGGAGCTGATTCTTTACAACGGGCCACGAACCGCGATCTTCCCTTCCCTTCCCGTACCTTACCGTACCTTACCTTACCTTACCTTACCTTACCTTACCTTACCTTACCTTACCTTTCTATTCTTTTGACCTTTCTAATTCTTTTTCGGGCCTTTCCCACGCCTTTCCCACGTATTTCTTATGCCCTTTTCATGAGCTTTCCATATATTTTCCATATCTTCACGTCCTTACCAGGTGAGATGTTTATCTACAGTAAGCCCAGAATGAAATCAAAACTGTGTGATATGATTACAGATTTTAACCTTTAAATATATTGTAGTTAGTGCGTTTCTCTCTATCAAGAACAGTACATCAGTATTTTGAAACATAGTTCTCCACGTTCTGTGTGAAGGAGGAAACCTTAGGTGAGGGGTCTCGTGAGATAACTTTCCTCCGTTTCTTCTTTACAGGGAGTATTAGGCAATGGCAATGGCAATGATAAATGCTTTTCCATGAGTGCGGAGGGTATATTATTCACACAGGGAAGAAAAAGAACAGACCTTAAGATCCTTGTGGAACTTCATTCAGTGTTGGCACCGAATCTGATAGATAATAAAGTAATAATCGATCTTGTCAAATGGCTATTTCGTCATAACTTACCAGTTGGTTACGAGTATTTACTCTTTGAGACCAATTGCTAGGATATGAAGATAATTATAATAAATGTTTGAAATGCCATACAAATCGACGAATAATTTGCAAAGGAAAATTTTGTGATCATTTTAATCAAAATCTTTCGACGTATCCAAGATTACTTTAATTTCAATAACATCCTTAGTTCAAACGACTTTTTGACATATAACGATGATGAAAATAATAATAATAATAATAATAATAATAATAACAGTACTAATGATAACAAAAATATAATAATAATAATAATAATAATAATAATAATAATGACGACGACGACAACAATAATAATAGATGCTAATCGGTAAAAACAAATAGTTATCACGAAACAATAGGTTGCCCACGAGTCGCATGATGTATCAGAGCCATCACACCTGAATCCCTTGCTGGCTGCCTGAACAAAAATGTCTTTAAGTATAGGGTATGTG